GGATAGGCTCTCAATGGAGAAGACATTCTCACATTGCCGGATAAAGGTCTCCACTTGCTCCGCCTTGCCCTGGAACTTGGAAGGTGGTGGTGCCTTTGGTTCTCGAGCCCTGGTGGAAGTAGAAGGGGGAGAGGCGGCCGGAGGTCGGAACTGCTGGGACATCATAGCCAACAGATCCTTCTGCTGCTTTTCCAACTTCTTCTTAAAATATCTCCGCCAGGCTCTTCTATCACCACCTTCTGGTTCCGAGTCTGAACTGTCTGAATCTCCAGGAGCAGGAGCTTTGGCCGCGGGAGGTGGAGGGTTCTGATTTCCGCCACTTCCTCCCTGTGCCTGAGCTGGAGGATTCTGATCACCACCACTTCCTCCTTGTGCCTGAGCTGGAGGAGCCACAGGTGCTACTGGTGCCGGGTTGCTGGCCAGTGGTGAGGTTGCTGCTGGTTGAGCAGCCCCAGACATGGTAAACCTTCCTGGGTTCCTGGCTAGCGGACTAGGAGGTCCTCGGCCTGCACCTGAGAAGAACTCTCCTTCATAGTCAAAGGATCGGTCGGCTCCTCCAAGGAGTGGATGTGTTCCACCGAAGCGGCTAGGTGGTAAGGGTGAAGACCCCACCGCTGGCTGCACAATAGGGATAACTCTCCTAGTGGATCGGACCGGAAATGCTGCAAAGGGGCTGGTCTTCCGCTGCATTGTCCTGGTAGCTGCTCTGGAAGAGGACCTGGAGACTGAAAGTGGTGCCGGAGTTGCTGGTCTACCCACCACCAACCTTCCTTCATCAAGGGCTCTCTGTATCTCAGCGACAAAGTCTGGTGGAGTGGCCGGATTTGTCCACTCAATCTCCATGGCATCAACATCGGCATTCAGTTCATCTCTTTCTGCATACTTCCGGAGCTCTTCCTGAACAGCGTTGACTTCCGACCTCATGTACTCTAGAGCTTCTGCCATCAGAGCATTCTGTGCTGCCTGGCGCTCTTGTACAATGAGCAGTGCCTGACTGCCTCGGTTCAACTGACTCTGCAGGCTGTGCTGGAGGTAGGTCTGAAGCTCTGTGAAGAACTGTTGTAAGGAAACCTCATCGGTATCCTGCCAGGCAGGCTCACAGCCGGGAATATAGGCCTGTAGAGCGGTCCTGGGTTTCTTAACAAGCTGTGTCTGCCCGGTGGCATCAAGCTGGAGGGGCACCGGCTGCCATTCAATCTGAAGGGGTGCATCTGGAGCCGAGAGGGCGGACATTTTGTATAGAGGAAGAATAATCTGAAGGTGACTTGAGCCTTAAAGATTATCTGTAACGGGGGTCCTTTCTAAGAGAAATAGATTTGTATAGAATAGAGACGGCCGTGCAAGATAGACAATCAGGTTGCAGATTATTCAAAGATACTATCGCTAGAACTCAATAATCTTTAAGGGCTCTGCTACCGATAAGAACTTGGTTTTTCTTTCTGATGAAGACTGGAGAGAACAGGACTCAAGGGCGAGGATGAACCTGAGTACTTATACTCCGAAGGCCTCTATTCTCTGCTCCTAACTCCTTTACTAAGTTCCGGTGGGCCTTCCCTCAGTACCGGAAACAATACCACCGCTACCCCGCTTTTCTCTAAGCGTCAGCAGGTGTTTCCGATACCCAAGGCAACCACCCTTAGTCAAAGCCTTTGTAACACCTGCAGCCTTGGTTGCCACACAACCGAGGACCTGCATGAATGAGCTGCCGCTCAGGTGTAAGCTTAATCATTGCTGTAGAGCTTTTCGCTTATTGTAGACTTCCCTAGCATAGTCCCTGCCCTTCGGCGGACTTACAATGCTCAAAGGATTATAGTGGATCACCGGACAATCAGAGCTTCACTCTGGCCGGTCTTCTAGACACTGGCGAGGCATAGACTCGTCAGTCATTGCTCCCATGAATAGATCCCCTTCCTAGCGCCCGGAATGTAGTTACTCTAACAGCTGGTAGCTAACCACACTGCCGGTACTTGCATATCACCGTGCAACTGGCTTCTAACAATAACTCTCAGCATGTAACCGGGCCCTGTGTGTACTCATACACCAGACAGTTGAAATGGCTCCGTTACAGGTTCCTCCAAAATTTTCTGTTTTTTCTCCGGTTGGGATGCTCTCCCTTCCTGCCTTTTTCTTTTCATATTTTTTTTGTTGTTTTCCGTCAGTGATAACATAGCAATCTGGGGATACTCCTGACCTGACTCATCAGAGTCCCCTACTGAAAATCCATATCGAAATCCATCTCCGATTCCGATCCGCGTTCTCGTACAAACGCTTGCCCACTGGTGTATTCCGCAGCAGCCGTAGCAGCCGGCTTTCTAGCACGATGCCTCATACGCTTTCTCTGAGGTTGGGGTTCTGGTGGTTCCATATCGTGGTCACCATCGTCATCGCGGGTACGCTTTCGGGAGAAAGAGGAGATAGATGCACTGCTGTTAACATCTGAACGACACCATTTCCAAAGATGACCCTTTCGGCCACATCCTACACAGACGCCATCGGTCTTTCGCTGTTCTCGGACCGGCTGTGGAACTCCTTTGGTGGCTTCGTCGTAGTCGTGGTATATTGGCTTATTCCCCGACTTGTTCTTGCTAGTGCTCTTCTTATCTTGTCCTTTTTCCTTCTCCTCAGTCTGAGCTCTGCCCTTAATCTTAAACCCTTTCTCCTTCTGCCGCGAGTTTCCACCATGGTTCGACTCCTTCCCTCTCGACTCCGCTTTCCCCAACATTTTCATCTGCTCCTGATAAGCCTCATGAGCCTTACCGGCTCGTTCCAACTGTTGGATGTACTCGGAGTCCTCATCGGTTGGATCGAAGCGTGAGTGGCGCTCCCGGATTTCATTTGGTAGCCCTTGGAGCAAGGCGGCGCGGTAGGATGCCCCTTTCATCTGAGCATGCTGGTTCATGATCTCCATTCTCGTCAAGTAGTCCCCAATGTTAGCAGGGCATTTAAACTGCTGCATCTTCATTGCGTTCTCCATAGCTTCCTGAGTGCTTAGGAACCGTTTTCTAATCTCCTGACGGAACCGAGTCCAAGTAGCGTAGTCCGCGGCTGCCGGGCCTAGCATCTTGGTCTCGATATATTCCATAAACCATTCTTTTGCCAACCCACACGTATATGTTCCAGCGAACAGTTCCTTGTTCCTGTCCGTTCGGAACTTCTTTGGTTTCTGCTCGAAGTAGATCTCGCACTCCATGAGCCAATGCCGCAGATTATGCTTTCTGGCGTTATCGAACTCGAAGGGTATTTTGGCGAGCGAGTCTACCATATCGTCGTCTTCAGGTGGCGCCGAATTCCGGTTCCCGCCTCGGTTCATTCTCCAATTCTTCCGACCGTGCGACCATTCACTGTTATCATCGTCATCGTCGTCGGAAGGTTCTGGGTCTCCCCCAAGGTTTCCTCTTGGTGGGTTCTGGGGAGGTTGATTTCCACCATTCCCGCCGACGGGGTCAGCTCCCACCGGTCTCCTGCCACTATTTCCCTGCACTGGGCCGGCATCCTCCGGTTGCCTGCCTCCATCTCCCCCTACGGGGCCAGCGTTTCCTCCTACTGGGCCAGCATTTCCTCCTACTGGGCCAGCATTTTCGGGTTTCTTGCCATTGCCAACAGGAACCATTTGGGGTGCATTAGGGTCCAAGGGAAAACTCACCATGGAGGGTGCTACCGATATATGTTGTCGTAGTCGTTCCTCCATCTCAGCTATTCGTTGGTTTCTTACGTCATCGAACTGCTTGAATTGCGCCAACAGTTCCCGCTGTTCCCTTTTCTCCTGCTCTCGCTCTTCTCTTGCAACTCTCAGCTGTCGTTCCGCCTCCAACAGTTGGTTCTGGGTGATCCGATGGTTACGATCCAGAACCTCGTGGTCGGCGGCTCGTGCGGCTTCCTGTACTTGCCGAACATTTTCGACGAGCTCAAAGAGCGATTCGAGATGTTGCTTCTGGGCGATGGCTTCTTGCCGTACTTTCTTGTCCAGGACTTGCCCGCCCCCTTGCACTTGTTCCTGGAGGTTTTGTAGCTGCTGCCACATGGCCTGTCCAGCTGTACCAAGATACCTCATTTGTGCCTCATGGGTATCCAAAAACTCCTGCATATTCCTCGTAAACTGGGCTTGAGCAGAACGTTTGCTCGATTGCCTAGTTTGTGTAGAGGGTCCTCCCTGGAGTAGGGGATCTGGGCTAGCAGCCCTCGATATTACCATAGAATCTTCCCCGGCCTCCTCAGTTACGGCCGAGTTATCTATGAAATAATTATCCCTTCGGGTAGTCATTATAATAGGGGATAATGTTGATAGTTTTTTCTTTTTCGAGGTGACTTCGTTACTCCAAGTGAACTTGTGAGTAACAATATACTGTGAGGGATGCGTACCAGATCACAAGAGTACACTACGCAGAGCTCAGAGTTCGGCTAACAGCTACAAAGGTAGAAGTCTCCAAGGTCTCTTCAGTCAACGTCGAGTATGAATCTCCTTGATCCGATAGGGCCCCGCGAGCTACGTTATCAACAAAGATTCACTAGAGTTAGCGTATGATGCTTCGACCGTCTTCGACGTAATAGTTCAGGTAGAGTTCGAAGTCACGATAGAGTAAAGTATTTCCAAAAGTATAGTCAAATAAAGTTGTAACTCGCGTATCAACGATTTATATTGTTAAGACTCTGATTTCGCCGATGATGGTTTGGCTAGTCAGTGAATGACACGGTATTTATATCCCTCGCTTATGTCTCGAGGACCCAGTCTACTAATAATACAGAATACACTCGGGGCCTACCCAAGACCCTGAAAAACAACCAAGAACATTTAACTCCTAAGTCCGTAACCCAAACTCCTAAACCCGCTGAAACCCCTCAACCTATTTACCCACTCTAATGCACATTTCCCTGTCGATGTTTCCTCTCCATCGGCCATCTGGTGGATAATCGTCAGCGCCGGCTACTCGTAGGTCTCGGACGACAAGGCTACCTACTCAGGCCTCTTCCCACATCGCTTTCCCACATAGCAGAGTCCTCTCATGCCCATAGGTACCGCCGATAGGTACTCGGTCGGCTGGTAGCTTGCGCCGATTCGTTCCGAGTGATCCGATCTTCGATCCGATTGCTTCCAGCTGTTCCTCATATATCCACCGGTACCAAAGCACTCCCCTCCGGCGGTTTGACGCTCCGGGGGTTATTATTGGGGTCGAAAACGTGTTTTTTATGACTCCGTGTTTTGGTCGTATTTTGGTCGCACCACACCCCGCGGGTGCGGTCCAGAGTTGACGTTAGCGTGCAGAGGGTATTGGGGTAGCTACTAGCCTTTTCTCATAAATGCTTGGCATGCCCGTAACACTGACCCAATTGGAGGAAATGGAGGCAAGCAACCGGAGGACGCCGGCCAAGTTCAGGGAAATAGTGGCAGGAGACCGGTAGGAGCTGCTCCAGTAGGAGGAAATGGTGGAAATCTACCTCCCCGAAACCCACCAAGAGGAAACCTTGGGGGTGACCCAGAACCTTCCGACGATGATGACGACGATAACAGCGAATGGTCGCACGGTCGGAAGAATTGGAGAATGAACCGAGGTGTGAACCGGAATTCGGCGCCGCCTGAGGACGAGGATATGGTAGATTCGCTTGCCAAAATACCCTTCGAGTTCGATAATGCCAGGAAGCATAACCTGCGGCATTGGCTCATGGAATGTGAGATTTACTTCGAGCAGAAGCCGAAGAAGTTCCAACGGACAGGAACAAGGTACTATTCGCTGGAACATATACGTGCGGGTTGGCTAAGGAATGGTTTATAGAGTATATCGAGACCAAAATGTTGGGTCCGGCAGGAGCAGACTATGCCACTTGGGCTCGGTTTCGTCAGGAAGTCAGGAAACGTTTCCTAAGCACTCAGGAGTCTATGGAAAACACGATGAAGATGCAGCAGTTTAAGTACTCTGCTAACATCGGCGACTACCTGACAAGGATGGAGATCATGAACCAGCATGCTCAGATGAAAGGGGCATCCTATCGCGCCGCCTTGCTCCAAGGGCTACCAAATGAAATCCGAGAACGCCACTCATGCTTCGATCCAACCGATGACGACTCCGAGTACATCCAACAGTTGGAACGAGCCGGCAAGGCTCACGAGGCTTATCAGGAGCAGATGAAAATGTTGGGAAAAGCGGAGTCGAGAGGGAAGGAGTCGAACCATGGTGGGAACTCGCGGCCGAAGGAGAAGGGGTTTAAGATCAAGGGAAGGGCTCAGATTGAGGAGAAGGAAAAAGGGCAAGATAAGAAGAGCACCAGCAAGAATAAGTCTGGGAATAAACCAATATACCACGACTACGACGAAGCCACCAAAGGAGTTCCACAACCGGTCCGAGACCAGCGAAAGACCGACGGTGTCTGCGTGCGATGTGGCCGAAAAGGTCATCTTTGGAAATGGTGTCGTTCAGAAGTTAACAGCAGTGCATCTATCTCCTCCTTCTCCCGAAAGCGTACCCGCGATGACGATGGCGACCACGATATGGAACCACCGGAACCCCAACCTCAGAGAAAGCGAATGAGGCACCGTGCTAGGAAGCCGGCTGCTACGGCTGCTGCGGAGTACACCAGCGGGCAAGCGTTTGTACGGGAACGCGGATCGGAATCTGAGATGGATTTCGATATGGATTTTTCGAAGGGGACTCTGATGAGTCAGGTCAGGAGTATCCCCAGATTGCTATGTTATCACTGACGGAAAACAACAAAAAAAATATGAAAAGAAAAAGGCAGGAAGGGAGAGCGTCCCAACCGGAGAAAAAACAGAAAATTTTGGAGGAATCCATTCACGGTCCTCGACCTATCGTTAATCAGTTCCTTTGTTTTGCGAAAAAATGTTTATCTTGTAAGGTGTTGTTGGATACTGGTGCAACTGGTCCTGTTTTGTCTGCTGTTTTTGTTGATAGTTTTGAGGTCCCGAAGGTGAAACGAGACGTCCCGGCCCGGGTATTTGGATTTACGGGAGAAGTTATGAAGGGCACGGGACACGCCTTTCCACAACCATTAATTATAATGTCAAGGGGGCATCAAACACAGTTATCATTCGAAATCGCCCCTCTCCCACTTGGCATCGATGCGATACTACCGAACTGGTGGTTGAAAGAACACAAACCGGTTATAGGGGCAAATGGGGAAGTTTCCTACGATGGCGAGAACTGCAAGAGTCGATGCTTCACTGATAAGGAACCTCAAATAGAGACGGACGAGGGTGTACTGGACAATCCGGAGGCCCAATTCATCGGTAGCATTTGTCTGTTGGAAGATGAATCGGTCAACCTCGGTGAAACTCTTGCCTCTTGGCTCCATGGGTTCCTTAAAGTCTTCCTACCATCGGAAGCCGACAAATTACCACCGCATCGATCTTACGACCATGCGATAGATCTCGAACCAGGAAAGCAACCACCATGGGGACCCATTTACTCCCTATCCGAAGTCGAACTAAAGGTGCTTCGGGAGTACCTGGACAAAATGTTGCGATTGGGAAAGATTAGGCCGAGTAAATCACCGGCAGGAGCCCCAATCCTATTTGTGAAGAAGAAGGACGGTAGTCTGCGACTTTGCGTTGACTACCGTGGACTTAACCGAGTGTCCATCAAGAACAGGTATCCGTTACCACTTATGGATGAACTGCGAGATCGAGTGGCAGGCGCGGTTATCTTCTCGAAGATTGACCTGAAGGAAGGTTACAACCTCATCAGGATCAAAGACGCCGACGAGTGGAAGACAGCATTCCGTACGCGGTACTGGCATTTTGAGTACCTCGTCATGCCTTTTGGGCTGGCAAATGCGCCAGCGACCTTCCAGAACATGATGAATGATGCGCTGAGGGAATTGTTGGATCAAGGTGTAGTAGTATACCTTGATGATATCCTAATATATAGCAAGTCTCGAGAGGAACACAGGGAGCTGGTAGGCAAAGTACTTAGCAGGCTACAAGAATACAACCTGGTCGCCAACCCGAAAAAATCGTTCTTCGAGCTCACCGAAATCGAGTTCCTCGGATATATCCTTGCCCCAGCAGGCGTCACCATGGCACTGGATAAGGTCATGTCTGTAACAAATTGGCAAGCCCCGTGCAGCGTTAAGGAAGTACAGATCTTCATGGGCTTTGCCAACTTCTACAGAAGGTTTATCCACAATTTCTCCGGGGTCTGTAAACCCATTACCGATTGTCTCAGAGGTGATGCTAAGAACTTTGTCTGGTCTATGACGGCCCAAGCAGCCTTCGAAAAACTCAAAACCCTGTTTACGTCTGCGCCGATCTTGGTACACTTCTCTCCAGATCGCCAGACTATCGTGGAAACGGATGCAAGTGATTTTGCTATCGCCGCAATTTTATCCCAGGTTATTGACGGAAAGACTCACCCTGTTGCCTTTTATTCCCGAAAACTTAACCCAGCGGAACTCAATTACGACGTCTGGGATAAGGAGATGCTAGGAATTGTGTCAGCCTTCAAGCAATGGCGTCACTAGCTCGAAGGACCTAGTCGAACGGTCTGTGAGGGATGCGTACCAGATCACAAGAGTACACTACGCAGAGCTCAGAGTTCGGCTAACAGCTACAAAGGTAGAAGTCTCCAAGGTCTCTTCAGTCAACGTCGAGTAGAGATCTCCTTGATCCGATACGGGCCCCGCGAGCTACGTTATCAACAAAGATTCACTAGAGTTAGCGGATAATGCTTCGACCGTCTTCGACGTAATAGTTCAGGTAGAGTTCGAAGTCACAATAGAGTAAAGTATTTTCAAAAGTATAGTCAAAAAGAGTTGTAACTCGCGTATCAACGATTTATATTGTTAAGACTCTGATTTCGCCGATAATGGTCTGGCTAGTCAGTGAATGACACCGAATTTATATCCCTCGCTTATGTCTCGAGGACCCAGTCTACTAATAATACAGAATACACTCGGGGTCTGCCCGAGACCCTGAAAAACAACCAAGAACATTTAACTCCTAAGTCCGTAACCCAAACTCCTAAACCCGCTAAAACCCCTCAACCTATTTACCCACTCTAATGCACGTTTCCCTGTCGATGTTTCCTCTCCATCGGCCGTCTGGTGAGTAATCGTCAGTATCGGCTACTCGTAGGTCTCGGACGACAAAGCTACCTACTCAGGCCTCTTCCCACATCGCTTTCCCACATAGCAGAGTCCTCTCATGCCCATAGGTACCGCCGATAGGTACTCGGTCGGCTGGTGGCTTGCGCCGATTCGCTCCGAGTGATCCGATCTTCGATCCGATTGCTTCCAGCTGTCCCTCATATATCCACCGGTACGAAAGCACTCCCCTCCGGCGGTTTGACGCTCCGGGGGTTATTATTGGGGTCGAAAACGTGTTTTTTATGACTCCGTGTTTTGGTCGTATATTGGTCGCACCACACCCCGCGGGTGCGGTCCAGAGTTGACGTTAGCTTGCAGAGGGTATTGGGGTATCTACTAGCCTTTTCATAAATGCTTGGCATGCCCGTAACAGCTTACCCCCCTTCCAGGGTGTCACGTCTCGGGACATCTTCTGACAGACTATGGTTCCAGTAAACCTGCCCCACATATCACCCGCGGTGTCTGTGGAGGGGAAGGACTTAGCCCCGTAGGGTACCTCTATAGTCTCAGGCGTTGGTCCTTCACGGCCTTGGGGTTCCTTCGATGAAAGTCGCGAACTAGGTCAAGTACCTCCTCATTCATAGCGTCCATGACTTGGTACGTGCAGTCGCTCATCGAATAGCCCCGCCATTTCACCAGGTATTCCACTAATCCTCTCCTACTTTTCCGGCTTCCCACAATACTTTCCACTTCATACAGGACTTCTCCTTCCTTATCGACGTCTTCGGGAGTTGGGGGGCGTTGTTCACGGCCTGGGATACTGCTCTGTCGGTAACGTTCCAAGAGTTCAATATGGAAAACGTTGTGGATTTTGACTTGCGGTGGCAGTTCCAATTCGCAGGCTCGTTTACCGGCTAGTCGGACAATTTTAAATGGGCCGAGTTTCTTATGATCGAGTTTCTTGGTAGAACGTCGTGTCTTGATGTTGGTCGCGTTGAGCATAACCATGTCTCCCACCTTGAAGTTAGGCGGTTCGTCCCTTTTCCGATCATAGTATTTCCCCATCTTCTCCCTGGTGTCTGTTAAGCGAGCGAGAGCGGAATCATGAACTCCTCGAATGAAGTGAGCGTATAGGTCACTGGTTGGGTTGACCACTTCGGCTTCTGTCGGCCAGTTGGTTCTTGGGTTGTAACCGTAGTTGGTATAGAACGGAGATTGACCCGTGGCGGTGGTAACCGAGTTGTTGTAAGCATACTCCGCCAATGGGAGTAGCTCTGCCCAATCATCTTGCTCATAGTTGCAGAATGCTCGTAGATAATGCTCGAGGGTTTGGTTGACTCGCTCTGTTTGCCCATCGGTCTGAGGGTGGAAAGCCGTACTCATTCTTATCCTCACGTCCAATAATTCCATAAGGGATGCCCAAAAGCTTGAAGTAAACTTGGCGTCCCTGTCGGAAACTATATCAAGAGGCAGCCCATGGAGTCGCCAGATTTGACCGAGGAATATCTTCGCTAGATCCTGCGCGGTCGTTTCTGCTACTAGGGGGATAAAATGCGACATCTTCGAGAACCTATCGACTACTACCCAAATTTGATTGTATCCCTTTGATTCCGGTAACTGCACGATGAAGTCCATCGATATCGATTGCCAGACAGAATGTGGCGTGGACAGTGGTAGAAGCGCACCGTATTTCTTATGGCGGCTGGGTTTGTTGCGCTGGCACTCATCACATGACCGAACGTAATCATCAATCCACTCGTTCATTTTTGGCCAATAGAAGTTGCGCGTAATAAGTTCCAAAGTTTTGTCTTGTCCAAAGTGTCCTGCCACCTTTGAGTCGTGTTCTGCCTGCGCGATTCGGATCTTGATACGGTCATCTGCCGGAATGTAGAGTCGGTTCTTATAGAAGAGTAGCCCGTCTTTCTCAGCGATATCCTTCATTTCCCCCAGCTTCTCTCCCTGCTCAATTCTCTCTTTCAATCCTACCCATATCGGGTCTCCCGATGCCGCCTGCCTGACATGATCCAAAAAATTCTTAGACCAGTCAATCACCCCCTTGGAGGCAAGCGACACCGCTGATACCACCAACTCTTCCTCCGCCAACTGTCCGGGCTTAAAGAACCTGTCTATCGGCTGTTTCCCAAGCGTGCCTCCCCCTTCAGGAGGGTACTCCGGCCGTCGCGATAGTGCATCTGCCTTCCCATTTTTGGTTCCCGGGCGGTAAATAATCTTGAAATCAAATTCCGCCAAAGACTCAGCCCACCTTGCCTGTCGTCGGTTAAGAACCTTGGTTGTAGAGAAGTACTCTAAGTTCTTGTGATCCGTATAGACGAGGACCGTTCGGCTAGGTCCTTCGAGGTAGTGACGCCATTGCTTGAAGGCTGACACAATTCCTAGCATCTCCTTATCCCAGACGTCGTAGTTGAGTTCCGCTGGGTTAAGCTTTCGAGAATAAAAGGCAACAGGGTGAGTCTTTCCGTCAATAACCTGGGATAAAATTGCGGCAATAGCAAAATCACTTGCGTCCATTTCCACGATAGTCTGGCGATCTGGGGAGAAATGTACCAAGATCGGCGCAGACGTAAATAGGGTTTTGAGTTTTTCGAAGGCTGCTTGGGCCGTCACAGACTAGACAAAGTTCTTAGCATCACCCCTGAG